GGAGGCGACGACATCAGGCGCGGCCGACTCAGCTTTGACGCGACGATGCACTGCCCCAGGTCGGCGCGTCCAGCTGTCCTGGGCCCGCCGCAGAAAGGCCCGCCCAGCGGCGGCCAAACTGCGGGCGAGGGCCGATGCACCAGCACGCGCGCGCGCTCCGCAATGCCGATCAGCTCCTCCAGCTCTGCGTCGGCGCGGACGCTGGGCCGCGCGCCCTCCAGCCACGCGTCGATGCCCTCAGTGTGCGCGCGCTCCCCGAACATGACGTCCCCGGGCTGGCTCTCGCACTGCTCCAGCATCCTCTCGATGGTGTCGGTGCTGGTGCTCTGCTGCTGGCGGTGCACGTCGTGCTCGCGAAGCGCCAGCGGCCGAGCGAGAAAGACGCCCATGGTCCACCACCATTCAACAGCAGGCGCTCGCACGCGTGCTCGCCCTGGCGAAGGCTCGAACCGCGCCCAGCTCAGCCCTGGCACGTCGGCTCGACCCCTGCAGCGCTGGAACGCGGCGGAGCCCGCGCCCTCGAACTTCAATGCTGTCTTCTCGACGGTGCTGACCCAGCGGCCGTAGACGTCGGTGACGGCCCTGACCTCCGCATCCTGGGGAAGGGCCCAAGCCTCGCCCGCGCGCGTCGGCGCGCGCAGCGAGCCCAAGGTGGCCTCGGCCCCCCCCGCGCCCCTCGTGGAACGTGGAAGGCCACGGGCGGCTCGGCGCTGGGATCCTGGGAGTTGCTCACGTCGAACGCGTCGGCCAGGTCGTCGATGGCAGCCCGTAGGTCGGGATCGAGGCCTTCTCGACGCCGCTGGCGCCGATCGCGCATCCGACGAGACCTCTTGCTGCCCTCTTGAGGTTGCTTTCTGCGGCGCTCGCGGGACGGCGCGCCTGCGGCGCGGCCAAGACCTGGCGCATCCGCTGGCCGCGGCCGCTGGCAATGACCAGCTCGAGGCCCGCGTGCGTCTTCCAGGGCGCCCGCGGGCAGGCGCGCAGCTGCAGGGGGCCCTCGAAGCCGCGCTTGGCAACCGCGTAGTCGATGAGAGACGTGCCCGAGCCCGTGGTGCAGGTGGCGCCCACGCCGGGCCCGAGTAGGATACCGTCCAACAGCTGCATGAACTGGGAGGCCTGCAGCTGCTCCATGCTGAGGCTCCAGTCTCCGATGATCACCCGCGGGTCGGCGAGCGTCTTGGCGAAGCGCCCGACCGAGCGGAGGCGCCCCGCGTCGGCGCCTCCGAGCTTGCCCCCCGGGAAAAGATAGAACGCGGCGACAGCGGCACTCCCTCTCTGCAAGTGGAGGGTCGCCGCCTGGATGCCCCTGCGCGCTGGCGCACGCAGCGCGCGCCCCCAGGACGTAGCAGCCAGATGCCCCAGGGCGAAGATAGCCTCTCCACCGCGGCATCCCGAGGCGGTCGCGGCGCCCCAGCCGTCTTTCGCCACCTCCGCGCGGATGCCCTGGACATCTGCTGCCTTCTTGTGCATCTCAACGAAACGCGCTGCATCGCACTGTCTGCCCTGGGCCCCGAGGAAGCCAAAAGACTTCGGGCCCCACTCTGTGATGTGACGGAAGAAAACCGCGGCCGAGCCGCTGCGAGCTGGGCCAGCGCCGCGCGACTCACCTCCCCGTCCCCCCCCGGCGCTCGAACGCGCTGCTGCCGAGCGCGTGGCCAAAATCTGGGCGGCTCTGGCCTGCGCGCTGGCGCGCCGGGCGTCGGCGCCTGGGGCTGCGACGGCGGCGGCGGAGCCCGCCGAGGCCCCGCCATCTCCGCCCTTGAAGACGGTCGGGGCGGCATGCCCCCCGCCGGCGGCGGCGGCGCCGCCCGCGCCTGCGGCCGCGGCAGGGGCAGCGGGCGCCACGCCGCCGCCGCGCCTCTTCTTCACCGTGCGCTCCGCGCTCTCCTGATGCTGCTTCTTGACCGCCTTCGCGACGTCTGCAGCCCGCTGGAAGACCTCCCTGGCCACGGTGGTGATCTGCTCCCCCAGCTCCCGCTGGCGACGCTGAACCTCCTCCATGTCCTCCCGGGACACATCCTCATCTCCGAAGTCGAAGATGGAGCCCATGTCGACGTTGATGGTGCCGCATGTGCCGTCGAGGAGCGAGCCCAAAGCGAGGGCGGGCTCGGCGGCCTTTGTCTTGGTCCTGTGGAGCTGCGCCAGCACCTGGTCGTGCTGCTGGTCGAGCTCCTCGAGCTGCAGATTGAACTGTTCGTCGTGGCCCCTCTGCTCCTCCGCCGCCTTCTCGAGTTCTCGAGCTGGGCGATGGCGGCCCAGAGCTTCCTGACATGCCTCTCCCTGGCATAGGTGGCGCTGGAGAGCTGGGGCGCCAGCGGCTCGGCGGGGGGAGGAGGAGGAGGAGGAGGAGGAGGAGGGGGGGGGAGGAGGAGGAGGAGGAGGAGGAGGAGGAGGAGGAGGAGGAGGGGAGGAGGAGGAGGAGGAGGAGGAGGAGGAGGAGGAGGAGGAGGAGGAGGAGGAGGAGGAGGGAAGGAGGAGGAGGAGGAGGAGGAGGAGGAAGGGGAGGAGGAGGAGGAGGAGGGGGAGGAGGAGGAGGAGGAGGAGGAGGAGGAGGAGGAGGAGGAGGTGGTGAGCCCCACGGCCCCTGGAGAACCCTGGGAGGCGGGGCCCGCGCGCGCTGGGCTGCGAGCTTGGAAAACAAAACGATTTTGGCCCCAAGTGATTTCGACTTCGGAGCGGGCCCAGGGGGCCCGTGAAAAAAACGCGAAAACCCAGCCGCGCGTTGGGTCCCGGTGCGTTTCTTACTGCGGCCGCCGCTGAAAACGCGACAGCTCACGTGGTCAGTCGAGGCACTGGAGCGCAACCTGCCAGAGCTGTCGAATCCATCCTCGCGCCGAGTCCCGAGGGCGTCGCCCGACGGATGTCGGTCCACGGGCTTCGAAAATCAGCGACGCTCGCAGGCGGCAGGGGAGACCATTGGTCCGCGGCGCTCGGCGAAAAAAACGAAACGCCACTGGGGGGTGATCGGGCTCGATCGCCGTAGACCCGCTCACTTGTGCATCGTGACTGGCCCAGCTGACCTCAGAACTCAGCGCGGCGAAACCGACGTGGCTGCGTGAGCGGCGGCCGCCGTGGAAACAGGTGGCCACTCCCATCGCGGGTCGGCCCCGGGCGCTGGCCGCGGCGATGTTGTTCGAGAGCACGAGCTCCTACGGGTAGGTCGACTTCCTGGTGGGAGCTCACATCGCGCGTCCACGCGCAGCACAAGCCCCTGCCCGCAGTCGAAGAGGTCCTGGGTATGGGGCGTATGGAGCGCAAGTTGAGCCTGGACCGAGATGGGCCCAGATAGTCCAGAGCTTGTCCCCGCGCGCAGTCTGGACTCCCACGGCCAAACAAGCAGAACGACACATTGATTTACCGATGGTGCAAGCCGTGAGCGTCCTGTGCGTTGCGATGCTGGGCCTCCTCTTCCGCCTCCCACGGAGGGAAGCTTGAATTGATGCGTGGCCAGCGATCTCGGGACGAGCACGGTCGGCCTACGTGAGTTCTTGAACGCATCTAACATCCCAGAACACCTCGCGCTCGAACTGGTCGAGCACCATGCGGCACCCCTCATCGGAACTCCACTCCAGTTCCATGAGATGATGGTGGTGTCGTCGCTTGTGTGAGTGCGTCCTTCCGAGCCTGGTCACTGGTCAAGAGCGGCGTGCAGGGTCGCCTATCTCAGCTTATCTCGTCAAAATTGCTGAACAACTCGCGCCGATCCTGTCCAGCCACTTCTGACCGCCTTTCACCTCTCGAAGCTGGAAAGTGGTGTACGCTCTGTTCAAGAGTCAAATCGGTTCTCTCGGCTGCGCCTCTGTCGGCAAGAACTTTCGGAATCATGCCACTGATCCTATATCTTTCCCGGTGTGTAGCTGCTGTCTGATCTGGGTGGATCATGGTTCGGCCACTTCGTCTCGAAGGCGGCCTTGATCAAATCTCGTCGGAAAGCGGCCCTCGCGAAGCAATCTATCTCACCGACTACTTGTCGATGACGTGCCAAAACTTTCGCTTGCTCTCATCGAGTGACTTGTGATATCTCTGCGAGAGTGTTGGCGAACTTTTTTCCCACTTGAACTAAGCACCTCCTCATCAAATAAAGATCAGCAACAGTGTATACCCAAGACGCATCCATGATAGTTGCAATAAACCCTCCCTGAAGTTCCCTCGTCACCGCTTCCTGGAAGCATGCATTCTCATTGCGGGAAGTGGCCAAGTAGAGGAACAATCGCAGAATCTTCAATCTTGCCAGAACACAATTCTTGGGACTCCAACTCCGCGCATCAACGTGACAGTCGCGTCCTGACAATCCGATTCGCGCCTGGACACCAATAGTGGGATTCGAAAACCGCGAATCAGAACGGAACCGCTGCGTTTTGGCAATCGTAAACCGTGCCAGAACGCCCTTCCTGAACGTCGGCGATGCGAAATCTTGACGTGGTCGCCAATGTTCAAAACAAATGTGCGCGACGCTGAAGCGCGAACCACGTTTTGCAGAGGAGCCGCCCTCCGTTCCAACCTTTGGAGACGAACGAGGGCTGCGTAAGATCGAGAACCACATGTTGAAAACCTCCTGTCCTCCATCCTCGAAGCTGCTGCCATTCTCCTACACGAGTGCGCGCGGCGTTAGAACGAGACCTACATTTTGAAAATACCCTGCCCTCCATCCGTGAACCGGTTGCGAATTTCAAGTTCCAGAATCCTGAGTGAGGAGGAGGTCTCAAGCGAAACGCCTGGCCCGCTCTATCGACACGTCTGGGGGTTATCTATAAGGGAAACGGATGGAGGAGGAGATGGAGACGATGGCAGAATAGGAGGAGGAAGATGACACTTCAGAAGGAAGAAGGGGAAGAAGAAGCAAGAGAGGGGATGCTGATGAGGAGTAGGAGGAGGAGGAGAAAGAGCAGGAGGAGGAGGAGGGGGGGAGAGGGAAGAGGAATACCTCGTCCCCCTCATTGTCCTCCCTCAACACCTCTTGCTGGTCCGTCTCGGACTCCTCATCTTCCTCCCCGTCGCCATCGCGGAGGCATGCGCTCTGTTTGGTCCTCAAGCCCGGCGCCCCCCCAATGTGGAGGTATCAGAGCATGCAAGCAGCACCCGAGGAAGGCCGGGCGGGCAGCCTGGCCTACGCACGTATGGCAGAACTACGCTCGTGCTTGAGATGCATTCCCGCGCTACGAAGCAAACGAATCTACCTCGCCTTTGACCACCCCCGCTTCCAAACGGGAGCCAAACGATACCAAGCTACCCCTAAGGTGGCCCACAACGGTCAGGCTGCTTGACGAGGAAGCGCGTGATACGACTGGGTTCTGCCTGCAAGCAAAAATGGGGTAGGCAGTTCGTCCTGCGACGCACCTCCTCCTTGCCTTCCAGAAGGCGCCGATCGGCTACACGCAAGAGTGACCCCAGGCAAGAGTCGCCGTCGCTGCGCTGCCTTGGGGGTTCGCGGGGTGGGCCAAGCCAAGGCGTGCAGGCCAACACTGCGGGCACCCCTGTGGGCCCGCGCCACAAGTCACCCCAGCCAAGGGCCGGTCTCGCTTACGCGCACTTCGCCGCATCTCTGGCAGAGGCACAGGAGAGCATCCAGCTCGCACAGCTCGCTACAGAGCTGCTGGCGCCCAGACTCGAGACACTGCTCCGTCCGCTCCTCTCCGGCCGCCTCCACCGCCTACGTTGGGGTCTGGGCAGCCCGCTGGCCTGGCGGTGACCTATCCAAAAGAATGAACATGAGATTGGCCAAACGTAGAACCAGAAAACAACCGCATCAGCATAAACTTTTGAAGGTTCGCGCGGACCTCGTGGATCGGCGCTGGACACCCCTGGCGGCGCCCCATGCGTGGCCCGGGGATCCAGCGCCGATCCAAGAAATTCGCGCGGACCTCAGGAAGTGTATGTTCCTACCGTTACTTTCTTCTTCGGATGCGGTGATGACCGAACTTGCACGCCTCAACTGCTCTTCTTCTCCCCAGCGGCGTTGCCAGCCATCGGCGTGGCCCCATCTGATGCCTCGCCCTCGGGAATGTCGTACGTCCAGAGCTCCCGGAACTCCCCCCGGGAGACAGCGATAGCGACAGATGTGATGAGGACGTAAGGTACTATGTAGAGCAGTGCTGGCTGCGCGGCGTTGGAGAAGAGCATTGCTGCAATGGTTGTCATGAGGCTCAGCACGTAGGCGACAAGCGTCGCGTGTAGGTAAACGAAGCCAGTCGATGCCTTCTGGCCAATCTTGACAGCATCGAATTTGGCGAGGAATGCCATGAAAAGCCCAGGCACAACGATGTCCCCCAGGCCCAGCATCGAATGCTGCAGTTCCCCACACCCTCCCGCTAGCCTGGGGAACATCAACTTGATTGGCGCTTCCACGCCCTTAGCCACAGTTACCATCACGTTGGCTCCAAAAATCGATTTGCTGCAAAACACCCAGAACACGTCATAGATGAAGAGGCCACTTAGCATTACGAAACCTGTCTTGTAGCTTGAGATATTTATCAGCTTGATCCCAAACAAACAAAAAGACACGCCGAAAACATTATTGATGACCCAATGCTGACACCAGAAATAGCCAGCCGCCATCAACCCCCCTATGCAAATACCTAACAACTCTGCAGAATTCATACTCTCCTCTGCGATCGGGATCCGGGACATGGGCTGCAGTGCTCTGTTGAAGACCAAGGTCGCCAAATGGTCCAAATTTGCTCCGAAACTGAAAGTGCACATCACTACAACACCACATGATATCAACTGCTTGATCCAATATTTGCCAATGTACGTGCACAAAACAAACATGCCGAACAGCACGCAGGAGCCCATGACCGGGAACCAATAGGCGTCCTGAGTCTGGATGACCCGGGTCGTCTCCCTCAGGGCTGGGGGCTGGGTGAACATCCACACGCCCTCCTTGGCGCCGAGGCACACGCACAGCGTGGCCAGCGACAGCAAGTGGAGGTTCGGCTGCAGCCCGACCCACCGGAAACTGCTCTCCACGTTCTCCCTCTGGGCTCTCTCATGAGACTTCCTCACCCACTCGGGGTTCTCGGGGTGGCCTGGAGGGAACGGCCCCTTGCCGAGCACGTCCGCGTTCCTCACCCAGCCACGCTCGCCGGTGGGCAGCACCGCCTCGTGCTGCTCAAAATGCGGATGGCACCTCTGGAGGCCTCCCGAACAGGGTCCGAGTAGGCCGGGTCGGAGGATCGCGCCGCATTGCCGATGCGCCGCAAATGTCGGCGATGCGTCGCCGACGTCGGCGATACATCGGTGACGTCGGCGTGGAAGACATCGAGCGGCCCCGCATCGAGATTCATCGCCGATGCCTCGGCGATGCGGCGCGACCCTCCGACCCCATCTGCTCGGACGCCATACGTAGAAGAAAAACAAAACGCCACAAACATAAACTTTTGGCGCTCCGCGCGGAGCGCCAAACGCTCATGCTTGTGGCGTGTCTTCTTCTTCTTCCACTTTGGAAGACCCGGGACCTCGGAAAGGGGCCCAGCTCGACGGGGTCGAAGTCCCCCACGTCGATGACCGTGCCGTTCTTCAGCGCGAACCTGCCCTCCGGGACGGGGCGCCGCATGCCCTCGCCGGCCGCGGCGAAGAGCGCCAGCGCCGCGGCTAGCGCGCCGTAGAGCCGCAGCAGCGTGCCCCGGAGGCCCTCCGGCCGCGGCGGCGGCTCAAGCCTGAGAGGGGGAGGAGGAGGAGGAGGAGGAGGAGGAGGAGGAGGAGGAGGAGGAGGAGGAGGAGGCGGAGGAGGAGGGAGGAGAAGGGAGGAGGAATGCTTGGCCTCTCCGACCGCACGGTGGGGGCGATTGTTCCTCTTCCAACCAAAAAGGGGCTTCTCCTTTCCGGTGGTGCAGCTTCATAAGACTCTGCGCTTCCAGGTATCCGCGTCGAGCTCCGTGGCTGCCGGAGTGGCCTCGAGGAGCTCCAAGTGCAGGGGGCACTTGGGCCCATCAAAACTGTGATTGCTCCGAGGGAGGGTTTCCCTGGCTCCTGATCCGCCGTACTTTGGATGATTTTCCGACCTAAAATTGTGTCGGAAATCGACGCCAAAGGAGCCTCAAGGGCGGAAATCGACGCTCAAAGGGGCCTTAAAAGTAGGGCGGAAATTTCCGCCCTACTTTCGAAATCGCCCAAAGTAGGGCGGATCAGGAGTCAGGGTTGTCACTGCAGGCCAAGACCATGTTCGCCGAGCCCCAACGGACCTTCGTTTTGTTCTACGCGGTGGGTGTTTGGCCGCGGCTCACTGGTGCTCAAGCCAGACGAGTGTGCACTACGCATGTGGCGGTATATAGAAGCGCGCTGAATCTCTCAGGCTCGAACAATGCAGTCTCGCATGAACGCAATGCCTGTGCTTATACCGTGTTGGTCGCCTCCCTCATGACATTGTCATGACCACTGCCAGGCTGCGATATCTTCGAAGGTTGATGTTGTCTGCGCCCCCGTTTCCAGTGCCTTGGTTGATGCCACGTGGCAGGCAAGCGCTGCGTGGGCGCAGCTTCTAATTATCCCAGTGCGACCCTACCTAGGAGTTGGAGGATCTAGGACAGCAAAATCTATATTAAGCTAAGTTAAGCTAAGATGAAGCTAAGCTAAGATGAAATAAATTAAGCTAAGATGAGATAAGCAACGCTAAGCTAAGGGAACGTCACTAGGGGAACCGCGGAGCGGATACTGGGGGAACCGCCCGGGGCGAATTGCACTGCCCGGCCCTTTAAGCATACCGAGTAAGAACCCTTCTAGGCAGAGCCTAGGTAGGGAAAAGCAGATTCTACTTAAGTGGTTGCGATTTCAGCTGAGCCCAGAGAACAACCCGAGGACGACCTTTCAAAGGATGATGCAGGTTTGGACGGCCACCCCAAAGCCGATGGGGGGCTTGGTCAACGCAGCCACTGTAAAGGCCAAGCGCTCATCCTGGGACGAGTTGCACCGGACCACCTGGGAAATGCATCTCGAGGCTCGCTCTAAAGCGACCCCTCTCGTGAGACCTCCTCTGCGCCTCTGTTCGCTTGTAGTTGTCCTGACTGCTCCTTTGTGGCCCAGTCAGATCATCAGTTGAGATCTCACCGTGGCAAGCTTCTCAATCTCCCTGAGGCCCCAATCAGGCTCGCTGCTGGTTCCCTCTGCCAGATGTGTCTTCGGGACTTCTGCAGCAACCATAGGCTCGTCCAGCATCTTCGCAACGTCCCGAGTTGCAGGATTTCATGGGCTAGGTCTGGTGCTCTTCCAAGTGGTCAGGAGCTTGAGGATGCCCGCCTAAAGTACAAGCACGAGATGGCTTGCAACCGACACAACGCTAGGCCAGATACCTGTGCAGAGCATTCCCCGATTCAGTGTGCGGGGTCACCCGTCGGTGCAAAAATCCCTTACTCGCGCAAGAAGGCAAGAGATGGTGCGGACCAGGTTGCAAGGTTGGCACCTCCTGCTCCTCCCTCTCCTGCCTCCTTCCGTCCCCGTCCGCTCCCCCTCCGTCCTGTGATGAATCTGCTGCGCTTGTTTTCAAGACATAGGCGCGAAGGGGATTTCCAATGGCACGTTGATGCGATGTGTGAGCCCTTTCCGACCAGTGCAAATGTGCTCAGTGTGGATGCGGCGAACCACCGTGAGCACGTAAACATGACCTCCGAGCGGAGAAGGAGGAGGAGGAGGAGGAGGAGGAGGCGGAGGAGGAGGAGGAGGAGGAGGGGCAGGAGAAGGAGGAGGAGGAGGGTGGAGGAGGGAGGAGGGAGGAGGGAGGCGGAGGAGGGAGGAGGGAGGAGGGAGGAGGAGGAGGAGGAGGAGGAGGAGGAGGAGGAGGAGGAGGAGGAGGAGGAGGAGGAGAGGAGGAGGAGGAGGAGGAGGAGAGGAGGAGGAGGAGGAGGAGGAGGAGGAGGAGGAGGAGGAGGAGGAGGAGGAGGGTGGAGGAGGGTGTGGAGGAGGAGGAGGAGGGGGAGGAGGAGGAGGAGGAGGAGGGAGGAGGAGGAGGAGGAGGGTGGAGGAGGAGGAGGAGGAGGAGGAGGGTGGAGGAGGCGGTGGAGGGGGAGGAGGAGGAGGAGGAGGAGGAGGAGGAGGAGGAGGAGGGAGGAGGAGGAGGAGGAGGAGGAGGAGGAGGAGGAGGAGGAGGAGGAGGAGGAGGAGGAGGAGGAGGAGGGGAGGGTGGAGGAGGAGGAGGAGGAGGAGGAGGAGGAGGAGGGAGGGTGGAGGAGGGTGAGGAGGGTGGTGGAGGAGGAGGAGGAGGAGGAGGAGGAGGAGGAGGAGGAGGAGGGAGGGAGGAGGAGGAGGGAGGAGGAGGAGGAGGAGGAGGAGGAGGAGGAGGAGGAGGAGGAGGAGGAGGAGGAGGAGGAGGGGCTATGCGTTTAACTGCTTCGCTCGGGACGTGCGGCAGCTGGGCCCGCAAGCCCATCGTGTGAGACATGGCCTTCGGCTCGTCACTCCCCCCGTGCCCGCCGGGCGCTCCTGGGGGTGCCCGTCCTCCCCGCCCCCTTCGGTCCAAGGAGGAGGAGGAGGAGGAGGAGGAGGAGGAGGAGGAGGAGCAGGGTGGAGGAGGGAGGAGGAGGGAGGAGGAGGAGGAGGAGGAGGAGGAGGGGAGGAGGAGGAGGAGGAGGAGGAGGAGGAGGGAGGAGGAGGAGGAGGAGGAGAAGGAGGAGGAGGAGGAGGGAGGAGGAGGAGGAAGAAGAAGACGAGGAGGAGCCCCGTGCACACCGTGAAGCAGCCCAGTTGTTGCTGGGCAGTGCCCCACTACGCACTGCTTCGCGGCTTCTCTGTGATGCATATGTCCACGGTGTGCCAGCCCTCATGGAGCTGTGGATGCCACGACAATGGACTCCTGACAGTCCTATCATCGAATTTAAAAATGTGCTTACCATGTCGGAAAGATGTTCTAGACATGTCTTAATCATATGTTTTATATGTCTAAAACATGTTTAACACATGTTTTAGACATCGGGGAATTATTTGGCAACATGCTTCCTCTCCATTGATCGCCCTCCACAATCATGGAGCACACTTCAGTTCATCCCCGTGTTCCCGAGGCCCCGAGCTCGTAGCACACCCCGTGCTCCGCCTGTGCTCTCAGCCCGGGGCCCGTCTGCATCATGTCAACCAGTGTATAATCGGGGCCCGCCACCTCAAGCCGCCACCTCAAGCTCACCACCCTCGAGGGGCCCAAACATATACGCCACCACCACCTCCCTCCCCCCATCCCTCTCCCAGGGAAGGAGGAGGGGAAGAGGAGGGCAGAGGAGAGAGAGGAGGCATCGGCGTGGTGGTGGTGGTGGTGGTGGTGTAGATCGTTTGGGTCCCCAACCCTCCCTGCGGTGCGCCTTGAGGCTATGAGCACCGTGGCGGCAACCAAACCGGGGGGGGGGGGGGGCTTGTGAACGCACGCCAGGCCCCACAGGGGGCCTCCTCACGGGTGTGGGCGTCGCTGGGCTGCGGCGCCCCGCCCGCTCCAAGACAGACCCCTCGGGGCGCTGCCGTTGTCTCGCGGCCAGCGTGTTGCAGGAAGTCCGAGTGAGGTTTCCCCAGCTGTGCCGCGACTTTCCTCACCTCGGCCCGTGCCCGCTGACTTCGCCAGGCCGCCACTCCACCGGAAGCGTGCTGATGAGGTGTTGCTGCGGGGGTTGATCCATCTTGGTCCGGCTGCTGATGGGTGGGATCTTCCGTACGGTTTGAGGAAATGTGCAGCACCGTGGGACCCCTACATCGAGACGGGTATGGCCATGGACTGCATGCTGCGCTGTCCAGGTCGCAGGGTGCCCACATGTACGCCATCACCACGACGGCATGTCATGCTCGTTTCTCTTTCTCGCTCTCTCTATCTCTCTCTCTCAATCTCGCTCTTTCTCTCTCTCTCTCTATTTCTCGTGTTCTCTCTCTCTCTCTCTTTCTCTGTCTCTCGTTCTCTCTCTCTCTCTTTCTCGTTCTCTCTCCTTTGATTGTTCTCTCTCTCTCTCTCTCTCTCTCCCTCTGTAAGTTGTTTTTGGAAGGAAGTTCCAAAACTGAGAGTGACTTGCAGCTGCAGTTGCTGGTGAAGGGCTTAGGGGGGGAAGGAGGAGATGCCCGGGTCAAAACCAGACCCTTGCTGCCTGCGACGTCCTCAAGACAGTACCCTCCGAGAAAAGCCAGGGGCCCTCGGGGGTCTGGCCGCCCCCGTCAGGGGAGTAGCGAGTTCGCCTTGTGGGGGAAGGTCGATGATGTTCCTCTACACGTCGGTCATTTCTAATCGTGCTCATTTCTGAGTGGGCTCGTTTCTAAGTGTGCCTGGCCCCCTAGTGGCCAGGAAGAGGCCCAGGATAGAACAATTAGAATTGAAAGGATCTTGGCCCCCCAAAATCAAAGAACTTTCGAATACAAAAAAAATGAACAGCGTGTACCTTTCATCTCCTTCCTTGTTCTGGCCCTCGAGTGTCCGTCCACTTTAAAGCGATAGTTTTAGGTCGGGCATGCCCCCTACTACAGGTGGATCCTGGACGACATATAAAACAAATAGCCCAAACGTGCCCCAACATGACCGAACATACCCGGACAAATCGCCCCCATAATATCCCTCCTGTAGAGGGACAGGCCCGACTTAAGCGATACTTACGCAGGACGAAAGATTTTCCTCTTGAGGTGACAACGGCCATGAGGAGTTCACGAGGCAACGTCGGCGCCGCCGAACGGACGGCGACCAGACGAGCTGTTTGCAGCAACCGGGGTG